GGCTCACCTGTTGGAAATCCCACCCTTTCTTAAAGGCCTAGTTCAACTCCCCTTTCTGAAGCATTTCAAATCTCCCAGAACAGAAAATATGTCTCTTCTGTCTCCTAAACACTTCTTTATGGTACTTTCTTAATTAGTTCTTATTGAATCATCACCAGTTTCTATGCCTTTATACTGTCTTTACTGCTGCCACTATGCCTGCCCATGCTCCCATCTGGGTCAGCTTCTTGACTTTTGTACTAGATTCTGCCCGTTTAGCTTACTCAGTTTTCCTTCTCAATGATCATTCCTATTAGCACACAAGCAAGCATTGTTTCACCTCTCTTAATAGGGTAGACAATGATTGATGTTTAATGTCTTCCCGTTTTTTCCTACATCTACTCCAGACATATCCTCCATCATTCCACTGTCAGTCCATCAAGGTCACCAGTGACCCTCATGCTTTTACTAATTCCTCCTCTTCTCCCAACTTCATGATGGAATACCTCAGTGACCTCTTCTCTATCTATGTAAAACCCTAGTGATCCTATCCAGCCTCATGTTTTCAAATATTCAAGGTAAATCTCCTGTTCAGACCTCTTCCCCTGAACCCAGCTCTGCCTACTGTAAATCCCTAGAACCTGACACACTTCTCACACTTAGTATGTTCAAAGTTGAACTCCTGATCCACTCTCCATTCTCCTTCCAACCTGCTCCTGTCAGTCTTCACTATCTTGATTATTAGCCACAAATATCTGTCATCCATGACTCCTCTCTATCCCACTCTACATGTGTCAGTAAATCATGTTGGCTCCACTTTCAAAATATATCTAGAATGTCGCCACTCCACCACTCCCACTATAGTCACACCACCATTTCTCATTTGATCCAGTCTCCTAACTGGTCTTTCTGCTTCCATGTTTGCTCCTGTGTGGGCTATTCTCAACCCCACACACAAAGAATATTCCTGATGGTATACTGTGGTTGAGTAATATCATGTTCTACCCTTTGCTGAAATCCTTTCCATGGACCCCACTCAGAGTAAACGCTGAAGGAAATCTCCCCTTGTCCAACCCCATCATCTCTGTTATCTACTACTATTCTCCCCCTTGCTCACTCTACTCCAGCCATACGGATCTCCCTGCTAGTCTTTTAACATGCCAAGCACACGTCCACCTTATGGCATGTGCACAGACCCTTTCCACTGCATGGAAGGCCCTTCTTTCCCCCAGGCAGGTGCATGGGCTGCATACTTCAAATACTTACTGAAATATCAACTTCAGTGAGACATAAACCTTTGACCCACTAACACCACATTCCCTCTCTCCAGCACTCCTGCCCCCTTACACTGCTTAACTCTTCTTCACAGCCCTCATCGTTACACACACACACACACACACACACACACACACACACACACACACACACACACACACACACACACACACTTGTCTTTTACCATTTTCTAAAGATAAATACTCCATGAGAGGGGATTTTGGTCTATATTATTCACTGTTGTATCCCTAACATGCCGACCGGCACTTGGCATACCAGTAGAAGTGCAATAAATATTTGTCGACAGGCCTACGAGGATCATGCACTGTTCTGCTTTGTATGCCCTACAACATTTAGCACAAGAACTTGAACATGATTAAGCTTAAAAAAAAATGCATTGAAAACAAAAGCTCAAAATAAGAGTCACAACACTGTTTAAAAAGGGAAGGTTTATTAAGGTTTTTCCTCATGAAGAACAGCCAATCTCTTGCTTCTTAAGAGAAGCAAATAGTGGGAAAAATATGTCACACCTTGGGCCCAGAACCACAGGAGGCCATTTCTTAACAAGCCCAAAGAACTTACACCCCTCAATTCCCTTTTAAAGCTTATTAATGTCTGCAACACAGAACCCATGTTGCCTTCCCAGAAAACAGAACTGGGCGCCCAGTTCAAAGATTCCAGGTGTTCTCAACAGGAATATTTAAGAAAGATAGGGCAATAAATGAACTGCACATTCAACAAACCCAAGATGAAACTGCAGTAAGAAAAATCCATGATCGATGTAATGTCTGTACTACATCTTCAAGAATAACTTACATTTTTTACATTACTGGGGAGTATAAATGCTACAAGCTGGGTAGTAAGATGGCTAGAAAGCTCACATTCATTTCCCTCCCTGAAAGATGGGCTCTTTCTAGATCCGGGACAAAGATCCGAACCACTCTGCCCCTTTAAGTTTGGAGTTTATTCCAGAGGGGCTATTTTAACACATATTTAGCACCTTAAATAAGTACAAGACCCAAATCATAGAAAAGGTTATTTTACAAATTCTTCTCCTCCTCCAAAATGCCCAACAATTTCTTCACACTTTGGTTTCAACACATATACAATTTATGAGTATAGTTTATGTTTCCAACATTCCATATGATTGCTTACAGAGGAAAATACCAAGGTATTCCTTATTTCTCTTTCTGTCCCTCAGTCCCTCAAACAAAACTCAGGCTCATGAACTGACAAATATGTGTACTTATGAGGATAAGGAAGCAAAATATTTTAAAATGCAGAATATTTTACTACTATTCATATGTGGAGAAAAATAGCTCCACACAGAGTTTCCTGTTTTAATAAAGTTGGTAGTTAAATAAAGATATTTTCCCTAAGGATTAGCTTTTCCAACTACATTATAACTTCAAAGAAGTGGATTGTTTCACTGAGGACTAAAAGGTGGCCATTTATGATCCAGATCAAGATGCCCAACAGAGATTAGTTCAGAGTTCTAGGAAGAAGAAAGTAACACAGCAACCTCCATATTTCTCCAAACATTCTTATGAGAACTACCCATGTGGCCACAGTGTTATTCATACCTTTGATAAATTTTTTGTGTATCTTCCCTGCCCAATTAGACTGTAAACTCTCGAGGGAGAGCCTCTATGCCTCTTTGTTAGACATTCAGTGTTTACAGAATAGATGGCTTTAAATGATCCTTTTTTTTTTATTCCAAGATTTTGCATTTCTATGAATAGATACATATAATTCAATGTTTGTAGAAGTGTTAACTGATACTGAAGCTCCCCCTGGTGGAGGGTAAGATTACAGTTATACTCATACTGTTAATTTCTAAAACTAGATTGTGTGGGGGCACTAACAAGCATTTAAAGTCATTTTGTGTTTTAGTTGAAAGAAGCAAACTATCAACTGTGGCATGAAGCCTCCTTTAAATTATATATTACTCATATAACCAAAGTTATTATACTTTAAGTAGACACAAATACTAATATGGTATCAGTTCCTGGATATTCAGGTACATGAGATTCATATATATATCCTAGAGACTTGATTTTTCAGCTATAAAAATACATTTTATTTTCAGTCACCCTTCACTCTAAAACCAAGCTAAGGAGTTCACATCAGGACAATATAAAAACACATCGATCTCACTTTCTAACAGGACACCTTTCTACCTTGCTCAGCAACCACAGAGTTCCTTAAGACAGCAATGCACATCTCTGATTTCAGTTGGTCCTGCTCTGCATACAGTGTGTGCCAAAAAGGCATTTTTCTTAACATTCCACCTTTAACCCAAGTGGACTGTATGTGACAAAGGAATCCTACCACGACCATCTTTCTCAACTATGTTCTAAAATAGAAGACACTGAGTTTATGCTACTAGTCAAGCAGACTAAAACTTGGAGTTGGTCTTAATGATTTCTATTTAATCTGGAAAATAACTAAACAATCCATGTAACAAGGTTATTATATAGGAAGTTTTACTGGTTTGTGAGATGTTTGTCTATGATTTTAAGTCCAAAGAAATGTCTGAGAGGCATTTTAAAGCAGAATGACTTTAGAGGACCTTAAAATAAAATATACCACCCTGACCTAGACAAACTGGCCCTAATATTTCACTTATATTTTAAATTTATTACATTCTTGGCCCCTCAATCCCAGACATATGTATAACTGGGTCAGCAGAAGGGAAGTGTTAGGTAACTAAGTCTATTAGAAACTCAAAAATTTCCTATTTTTAAAAAATACTGTAACATTTCCTCAGGTTCATCAAAGCTTACATTTGAAACCTGATTTTTAAATTTCAATTTAGTAACTGATGGGCTGACCACACTCCTGGAAAATCTCAGCAAGGCATGAACACTTCTTCATACCTAATTGCAATGAGACAGTATCTAGATCCCTGAGCAATGATTTAGACTTTCTAGGACTGGTCTCGTCCTTAATATTCATGGACAAGGCCCAGGGTTTCCTAAGCTTGTTTCTTTCCTTCTCTACCACTTAACTGGCTAACAAGCTGTTTGCTATCTTTATGGAGAATACATAAGTAATATCACCCTGGGTCCTGTCCTACTTAAGCCCTATCTTTTATAAAAATAGAAATAACGGGAAGGAAAAAAAAAGCACCACTATATAGCCAGCAAAAATTTTAACTTAGCAATCTCTTCCATATTACTACTACTATACTACTTCATATATAATCGAAGCAAAAGTAACTGACACATCCCTTTTATGTGTTCTAACTTTCACTCCTCTCAAATTCTTCAATCTGCTATAAAGCAAGTTTGAAAATTTTCACATAATACTTCATTGGTGGACTCACACCCAACAAATTGACAATGGCAAAGGATTCCCTTGATGAAATTACAAGCTGTGGAAGATCTGAAATAGTAAAAGTTAAACCCCGATACAGTATTAAACCTATTTTTTTTTACATATAAAAATAATACACAGTGGGATATTTTATTCAATAAGATACAATCTTTAAGATCAAGAGAGAATATACAAAACTATTCTATGCAGTCTGATGTATTTTACTGTATAGTAGGAATAAATATATCTAGGACAGAAAGTGCGAGGTCTGTTCCTAGAGAAATCACCAGTTACTCAGCATAGTTTAAAGCCCAGTGTTCTGCCAAGTGTCCAGGCAGAAAGGAGCTACTGTTGCATTTAAAACAACGTGGTTATTATAAAATAAAGGCCTTAAATCTATAAACAATAACAAAAACACACAAACCAAATGAAAATGTACTAAAATTTAATCATCCATAAAAGCTGTAATTTAATCTGACAGTAAAACACAAGAAGCAATATTAGAGTTGGTTTAGTATATTATATATTTTAGCTTTGAAAGCCATAGAAATCAGTTATCCCAGTTTTTTTTCCTATAAAAGACCCATTTTTCCAAAGCATTATGCACAGTTTTAATTAGAATATAATGACAGATGATATTTCATAATTTTTTAAATATAAAATTAAGTCAATGACTCAAAAAAGTTATCTGCTGCAATGAGTTTGAGGGGAAATTTCATAATCTATCATTACAGATATAAAGTGTAATTGTTGAACTTTTTAGTGCTTGACAGGGAGTAATCATGATAAAAAGGTCAATATGAAATCATCTGATTATAGTAGCAATATCTAACATTTGAAATGCATCCATGCTCTTTTGTATAATCATATTAGAGTCAAGTATATTTATTTTCACATCTGTTATAACTGCTATTGCAAAGGAGAAATACTATTGTCTTATTTTCCAAGAGATATACACAGAGCAATTATTTTTCTCCAGGGAACTTGTGCAAACCAATATAAGATCTAAATTCTTCACATAATATATAAAACAGGAGAAGCCTCTTCAGATTTATTTTTTGAAGTCTGGAATGCTGGCACTTTCCAATTAGGCAACAGTTCTTCATTCCTGTAATCTAGAATATTAAATAGATATAGATATACATATATATGGTTAATAATCTTGATGTCAGAAGATGGTAGATATCCAATAATATAGAAAGAAAATGATTTTGGCAGATTGTTACTAGAGAACTAAATTATACTAAATTAGCTACAGTAAAGGGCTATTTTAAATTCCCTTTAAAAATGAAAATAAAATAAAAATGTTTTTAAAATAATCAAATATAAGAGAGTTCACAGGAAGGGAGTTAATAATTGATCAACTTTAGCTATCCTCAGTTTTATTATACTTAGTGTTTCACATTACATCTGACAGTCCTATTTATAAAGAGGAAAACAGTGATATTTCATTTCTATCCCATTATCACGTTTTTTTTTTAAAAAAGTTCCCATTCCACTCAGGAAATGACACCTGCCTGCATAAACTTTCCAGGGGAAATTCTTTATTCAATCATTTTATAATTATATATTAGGATAACCACTTCTAATACAGGTTAAGGAAAGAGATGATACAGAAAGAGCTGATCCCCATATTCAAGGGCATAAGATTCAAAGTTAATCTTACTGCTCAGTAGAAGACAATTAGGTTAAAGGAAGAATCCCTGATGATGAATTTCTCAGAGTTCTTTAAAAATGAGACGTATAAAAAAGAGATTAACATGTTTTAATACAATTTTGCTCAAAGGCTACAGACTAGATAAGCTGCCCTCAAGGTTCATGTACTCTTCACTAAAAATGTTTATAATTTCCATTTAAATCTACCCTGTATCTCAGTATTTTTAAAAGTACAGAAACAACATGACACTTCAAATCTACAACCACAATAAAATGCACTGCAAAATATTCTGATTGCTAAGTCACCTATTATTTGAATGACTTATTAAGTATATTGTAAGCTGAATTACATATGAGAATTTATGTAACTAGGATGAAAGTTTTATTTCTAGGTCTAGGCCAAGATTTCTCTCTTCTGAGGCAAAACTCACAACACACTGTCACATTGTTGGGTATGTATGAATGCATTTTTAAAATTACAATAGGCCAGGAGATGTCACCTTTCCTTTTAGACATAAGCTAAATAAGACTTTTTCTGAGAATTGGAAATTAAACAAGGGTCAGCCAAAGTAATGGTGTCAATGAGCTAGTCAACTATAAGAGAATTTAAGAACTGGAACTGGAGTTCTCATTTTCTCTACCTTTGCACCCTTATCTAAACAAACACAAATACCAGCAATCTTAACAATAATCACTTTCAGGGAACTAAAGATTTAAAGTTATTAAGTTAGGATTTCACTAAAAGCCTACAGCAACCGTTTGGCCAGAAGCCATCTTTCCTACATCTGAGTACCAGAGACAATACCCATGCCCTTTTCTCCTCTACTGTCCTTTAAAAGAGAGATTCATTCATATATGTAAGGAAGCAAATATTAGTTGATCTGGAGCTCTGGAAGAGGTAATCTACTAAATGGACCCAAGAGACTTAGAAGAGTTAGTGTAACTAACTCTCAAGTGGTAACAATCTACTTTCTTCTAACTGAACCAAGTTTAGCAATATTCATATAATTAGCATCAAATTATATCATAAGTCTACTCCATGAAAATATTCTTTTAGGGCATTATTTATAGAGTTGATGAAGTAGAAATTGTTCGGAGGATTTAAATACATAATCAAAGAAAAACAAATAGTCCCCCAGGGCCTGGTTTCTCATTTGATAGGCAGCTTACATGCTGCCACTAATTTCTCTCCAATGGGTCCACTAATGAAAACTTAAGTGGTACTTAGAGTCAACTACTACTTAGAAGCCTACAGATGAAACATTTATTTGAAAAAAACAAAGCTACATCTGAGAGGAAATGACTACCAAAACTACAATGATATACCATCATATAAAACTGCAATGATATACAATGATATACCATTATACATTCACTGGAATGGCTCAAGTTAAAAAAACTGACAATACCAATTTTGGGGAGGATGTGGAACTCATAAAATGCTGGTGGGTGTGTAAACTGGCACAAACACTTTGAAAAACTTTTTAGCAGTATCTACTAAAGCTGTCAATATGGTATATGATACATCCAGCCATTCCAGTCATAAATATATACCCAAAAGAAATGCAAGCACGTGAGCACAAAGACACATATGAGAATGTGCACAGCTGAATTATTCATACTAACTCTTGAAAAAAAGCCCAAATGCCCATCAATAGCAGAATATATTAATATATTCCTAGTATAGTCATACAATACAAATGAACTACTGCTATATGCAACATGGATAATTCTCAAAAACATATTTTTGAGTAAAAGAAGTCAGACATAAAATAATACATTATATGTTTTTGTTTACATAGAGTTCAAAGAGAGACAAAACTAATCCACAGCATTAGAAAACAGGGAAAAGGTTACATTTGGGGAGAAGTGACCATTGTTAATAGACATGAGTGTGTTCGCTCTGATAATTCACCAAATGTACGCTTATGCCTTTCTGTTTCAGAGGAACCTTTGTTTCACTTCAATACAGTATGAATTTGGGAATCATCTAGGAAGGCACTCTACTCATTTGATCACTATTTTTTGAATACTGATTCTGTAGCAGGCACTGGGGATTCAGTGGCAAGCAAAAGAAATGTGGTCCTTGCCTGTACAGAGCTTAGAATCTCACAGTGAAAGGGAAAATTATCTAACAGATGAATGTATCTACAAGTTATATGTCACATTTACAAGTTATAGAAAGTCAGAAATATCCTAATAGGTGAAATGGAACTAGTTAAAGTTGGGAAAAACACAAAATAAGAGGATGAGAAAGGCATTTGTTCTGCTTTTAGCATCTTACCTGGCTCAGAGCTGCTGCTGACTATGGGTCTAGAGCAGCAGACATGATTTCTTTTTAGGCTTCTTCTTTTCCACTGGTGTTTTTCTATTTATCTGTCTGACCAGGTCATAAAATATCTAAGTAAAAACAAGAAGAAAGTACTTATTCAACCAACTTTTGAGACCTTGTTTCACAAAACAATTTTGGTTTTGTTAAACATTATTCTGCTCTTACACCTGTATTTTGCTGCTTTGTTTCAAAGTCAAATTTCTTAGAAGCCCTGGCTGTCTCTCAGGGTAAAGAAGGACTTACCTATTCATAATGAAGGAAATATACTTGCTCTAAGATATTCAATATCCAATTAATAAAAAAACAAAACCGGTAATAAAAAATAAGACAGTGAAAACTTCAAACTTACAAATGAGTTGCAAGAATAGTACCAAGAACTTCTGTACATTCTTCCCAGATTCACCAATTAGTAACATTTTGCCACTTTTACCTTATCATTTCTCTCCCTCTCTAAACACACACACATATTTTCTAAACCATTTAAGAGTAGTTTGTATACCACAGGTCCCTTAACAGTTGGGTGTGTATTTCCTAAGAACAAGAACACTCTCTTACATTAACCACACCATTGTTATACGTGACTTTGTATTATCTACAGAGCAAGTTCCGATTTTGTCAATTGTCCCAATAATGTCCTTTATAGTAACTTTCCCCTCCAGGGACAGGATCCATCCAAGATCACACATTGCATTTTATTTTCTGTCACTTTAATCTTTTTTGAAATCTGGAACAGTTTCTTGGCCTTTGTCTTTCAGGACACTGTCATTTTTGAAAAGTAAAGGCTAGTAATGTTACAGATTACCTCAGCTTGGGTTTGTCTGATGTTTCCTCATTATTAGATTCATGTTATACACTTTTGGCTGGAATAGGACAACAGAAATATTGTGACCCTCTGAAGGTATCACCTGCAGAGCCACATGATTTTTGTTTGCCTCTTTTTGGTGATGTTGACTTTGCTTAAAGTAAACAATATAAAAAGTCCACTAATTCTTGATTTAAAATGACAATATCTATCAATAAATCTTTTGGATCCATTTTTGAATGAAAAGTGCAAAGTATCAAAGACAAAAATACACATTTCACAAAAGCAGATTATTTTAATTCTGGTATGTTTATATATATAATTTTATAGTGCTGGGTATGCCAACGTGTTGAAACATGAAATAAATCAGCTGAATTTCGTTCTTTACCATGAAATGCAAACACACATTTACTAATGACCTGAAATAAAAACAAATACCATAAAGCCCCCTACTGTTAACTCACATGGAATAAAGAATGCTTTGCAGAAATGAATAAAAAAATGTACTGACTTTAAGGGGCATTATATAAGCAACTGGCAAAATCTGTATACCAAACATGGACTGTGTTGATGTCAATTTTCCTGATTTTAATAATTGTGTTGTGGTTATATAAGGAAAGTTTTTGATCTGACGATACACATACTAAAATATTTAGGATAAAGGGTTGTGATTTCTGCAAACATATGGCAAAACGTTAATAACTAGTGAATCTGGATGAGGGGTAAAGGAGAAATTCTTTTTCCTGTTCTTACATCTTTTGAGTAAATTTTGAAAGTAAAATATTTTAAAATTATTGGTTACATTTCTTTAAGATGGTACACAATTGTATTTCTTTCAAATGGTAAACAATTATCCATTTACTTATTTTAAATGATCCAAAGATTACAAGACTAAATCAACTGTTAAAAATACATAAACAAATACTGAGAGATTTATCCAAAAGTTACAAAAGTGACTCATTTATATTCTTTTCTTTCTGCTCCATCCTCTTCCCTCCCATCTTCAAACCATTTAACTCCCCATTATCTTATTTCTAAGAAAAGTTTGAAAGCAGAATTTATGAACAAAATGGTAGTTTGTGTTTCACAACTTCGAAGTCCGAGTTATTTCAAAACTCTGAAGCTTTTAAGAACTTAATGTGCATAAACCATGAATGAAGTCTCATTAGTTCCCTATGCTCAATGCATAAGCTATAATATGAAAAATAATAAAAAGGTAAACTAAAACAGTAAGTTAACCAAAATCATATGTAGTTTCTGTTTCAGTTTCTTCATGCTACCCAGTTTCCGGCTTCTGGTACTATATAGAACGGTAACTGATTTTCGTAGTATTATTCTAAATTATTTCTTTGGAAAACATTGCCTACCTCACAGCAGCAGATGGTTCAGTGATGAGGGCAAGTTCGAACTATAATATTTGGTTAGAAATGCTGAAAGTCCCCAGCCTAGGTTCTTCCTCATCTCTCTGAACTATAGAAAAATCTAAAGGGAACACAGAATAGAGTTTCTCAATCCCTCTCCCATTCCTAAATTGGGATGTCTTGATTCCAATTATTATTTCAGCCTCAGCAAAGAACAATTAATTCTTGATTAAGACTGACGTGATTCTGGTATAGCTATATAGTACTTTTAGAACATAGCACGAGTGATGTAAATAAGAGCTTAAAACAACGTCAGAGAATTAGAGGGCTTTTTAGCCAAGCAGTATGTCCTTGCATGCTTTCATATTTGAGGCCAAGAGTTGAATCTTCTGAAAGTATTATCTATCTCTATGCATTAGGAAATCACACAAACATTTACAAGGCATAGGCTGTCTGAGTAACTATTAACTATCAAAGGAATCTTGTAGCTGCATTATCAGGCTATAAAGAGAGAAACATTAAAAAAAACCCCTCAAATTATACTCTCAAGAATTCCTAGCATGAAGTTTGCACATTTTCAAAAAAGTAAAGATTCTTAAGATGGCTAACGCTTTTCATTTTGCTTTATTGTTTTTCTATGTTTGTTTTATAAACTGTCATGTCAAGGGTTGACTTTAACAAGACTGCTGTGAAAAAGTAGCTCTGCTGCATTGGAAACTTCAACCCAGAGGAGTACGAGTGGTGCACAGGTTCCCACAAGCATGTAATGCTAAAACATGAGGGAGGAACAGTTCCTCTCCACTGGCTACGGCTCCTAAAGGGAGAGGTCCTACATGCTGGACTTTGGCCCAACTCTGCCCAACCAAGCCTGATGAATTTGGTGAGTGGGTACCTGTGAGAGTGAGGACAGGGACAGCAAGGAACCAGATCTCTAAGGCCAACCATCCTGCAGATGGTGTTCTCACACCACTGTTCCACTAGCCAAGCATATTCACCAATCCTAACATGTTCTTGATCAAAGTTAGCATTTTTTTAATTTAAGAAAAGTAAGATTGTACTAAAAATTAAAATTTTATCATTAGCCACATTTTTCAAAATAGCCTCAAGGAAACTGTAATTCCACAACAGAAAAAGTTGAAGCTAGAAGCATATCATATTTCCTTCTATCTACTTGTCAGTGAATAAGTAATAATTGTTGTTGAAGACCTTAGCAGAACTTGTTGCCCCACTAAGATGTAAATTTCCTTAGGGCAAGAACAGTGTCTATCTGGATGACCGTCACCTGAGTGGCTAACACAGTGCCAGGCACATAGTAGATATTCAATAAATATTTGCTGGAAAAAAAAATTGGGGGCTGGTTGGTTAGCTCAGATGGTTAGAGCACAACCTTGTAACACCAAGGTCACAGGTTCGGATCTCCAAACTGGCTAGTTGCCAAAAAATAAAATGAATTTGAGAATTTCTTATTTTTATGTAATTGTTAAAGATGGTTTAACCTAAAAAAGCAAGCTTTGGCATTTTTGATTATTTGTAAAACACAGGATTTGTAGCATGCTTAATTTTTTCTGCCAGGTACTCAAAGTAATTTATTTGGTATGTGTTTATGTGTTCACTCATGTTTATAATGTATGTATGTGTCTGTGTGTGTGTGTGTGTGTGTGTGTGTGTATGGGTGTGTGTGTGTATGTACTGATTGATTGGTGGCTGGCCAGTACAGGGATCTGAACCCTCCTTGACCTTGGTGTTATAACAACATGCTCTAACCAACTGAGCTAACAGGCCAGCCCAATTTGGTCATCCTAAAAGTCACATAAAAGTCTACAAGCATAACACTAGTCAAGGAAAAGTAACCTACAGAACCACAGGCCACAGAGAAAGAGCAAGCAAAAACAAGGGACTCTGATAACCTGACCTAATCTTACTCTCATCTATGTTTTTTGTCTTTTTGTTTAAAAAAAGATGACCGGTAAGCGGATCTTAACCCTTGACTTGGTGGTGTTAGCACCACACTCTCCCCATAGTGAGCTGACCAGCCATCCCTATATAGGGATCTGAACTCATGGCCTTGGTGTTAACAGCACCATACTCTCCCAAGTGAGACATGGGCCAGCCCCTCTCACCTATGTTTTAAGTGATCTGAATTCTGACTGATTACCTGTGATGCTACAAGGGGAAGGGGAAGGCAAGGAGAAGGAAAAGAGAAGGAAAGAAGCCTTCTGTTTTTAAAAAGGCTTATGGCAAAGTTAGCAAAAGCATTCAATTTTTGCTTGATAGGTGGTAGGGGCAGTTGGAAATTGCACTAATTTTTTAGGGGCCCTGCAAACTACTGGCCCTTTACACCCAGGCATGCAGCTTACTTGCTAAGCATTCCCATCCACAGCTATGGTCTCAAGATAGTAGAGTGCTTAATGCAGGCACAAATAAAGCCTTGTGCATCTTGTATTTCAGGCCCAAGGGACTGAGTAAATTCCAATTACATGTCCATACTCACAGAGATTCTTCACTTTGAGTCATGTACCAAAGGTGAGGCAAGACTCAGAACACCAAATTCTGTGATATCCATGAAGGTAACATCTTTCTGTGTAACATAAGCTCATTACCATAACTATTTTGATTTTTGTATTTTCCAACTTGACATTACAACTTATTCATACACATCTGGATAGAAAACTGTTACAATACAAGGGTGATATGACAATTTTCACACACCCCTTTGTGGCATATCATTTAGAGGATTAGCAGGACTTAATACATATGCTTTAATTTTAATCTCCTCTTTGACAATAAGGTAAATTTAAGTGTCTTCATTACAGCCATCAAAGTGATCTTATACAAGCTAAGGAATATGGATTCTAGGAATTACTTGGTGTTTTCTATAAGGTGATAGAATCAATATAGGTTAAAAGAACAAAAAAATGTCTTAAAAACTTTTAGCTGTTAACTTAAAGCAAGGAAACTAAAAAGGCACTTGTTTGTGCTGCCTAGCACTGTGGGTTACCTCATTAACGTTGATCTTTGACTTTGCAGAAGATTCTAAAAAGGCACAGTTACACCACTGTCTAGCTAAATTCTGGCCCTGTTCTTTGCCTACTACTCGCTCATCTTCCAGGTCACATTTATTGCCAACCAAGATCATTGGAACCTGTGGGAAGGAAAAAACAAAATGAGCTATAACATTTTCATTACTTAGCCTTTTTTTTATAAATAAGCAACTACCTGTCACCAACTAAAATGTATTAGTTAGGACTGTAAGCTTCACCAAGTGCTAACAAAAGGTATATATATGTTGGGGGGAAGAAGGTGAAACAAGAGGGAAGAGACAAAAAAAAAAAAGAAAAAGAAATGGAAGAGATGCTACATTCATAAGCTAAATTATTTTAAGAACATAATCCCAAAGTTCTCATGTGGACTACTATGAATAGCTGAATTCCAAGAGGAAAAAATCTGAAGGAAAAGGAATCTTCCGCAATACTAAGAATGAACTCATTGGGCCTGACTAGTTTAAGTGCTTCATCTCAGTAGTCCAACAAATGCCAAAAACAGTGGCAAGACCAATATAGTAATAGGTTCTACTTCTACGTCTGACACCTAGACCCAAATACCTGTTTAAGTGAGATGTTAAGGAGGACTAAAAATAAAAATAAAGCCACAAAGCAACAATGTTTTCCATTTTTCTCCATACCGCAGATGCTTGGCTACATACATTCACAACTTCCTACTTCTAGTAAAACAAATAGCTAACAAACTGCATTAACTTCCTTAGTCAGAAGGTGTCATTTGTTTGTGACACTTTACAAAAGGAGAAATTTAAGGGACGTGGTGAACCTTCTACCTAAAACAGGCTATTATCATGAGTTAGATTAAACACACTAGGCACCTACAAACTCCATCCTTTTTAGTTTATTACACGGGATAAAGAGATTAACGTTACCAGAGCGCAGTGATTTGCACATAATTGCCTATGAAAACAGAACTCTCTTGGATAAATTAGTCATGAGAAGGAAGAAAACTACTCGTAAGGTTATGGTTGGTCGTGAGTCATATGGTGTACATGCCCCTGCCTATAATATTACTCAAGGTTACGGTCCTGGACAGATGTATACGCTCCCATTAAAACTTGGAACACACAGAAACAGAATGAAAGGTACAACTAAAAGTTTATATCCCAATTTATGCAAATGAAAAGAAACTCTCCATAGCTCAAAACCAAGGTAAATGTCTAAAATACACATTTTGTTTTTACAAAAAGAAATGAAAAAACACATACACGACAACTAAAACAATGTTATTCATCAAATAAGATGAGATTTCTAAAACAAAATTAAATTTTAAAAAATCCAGTTAATCAAAATCTCTAATATAATTCAAAGGAAAAAACTGTATTAAGTAAAAACTCTATCAACAGAATTTTAGAAATTGGAACATACCATTATGGTTCTTTTTTTTCCTTTCTCTCTCTCTCTCTCTCTCTCTCTCTCTCTCTTTTTTTTTAACAGCTGGCCAGTATGGGGTTCAGAACGCTTGACCCTCGTGTTATCAGCACCACGCTCTACCGAGTGACCTAACATGCCAGCCCTCAAATTGGTTCTTAATGTTCTTTGAACACTGTTTCTGATCTATCACCTTTCAAAGCTCAACTCCAGTCCCACTTCTTCTATTAAGTATTCTTTGTCTCCTCTTCTTTCTCTACTCTTTTTACTCTCACAGCACAATGAGCCTTTTATCACATATGATATGTCCTCATTTTCTGAACATCTCAGCATATAATTTGTAGGTTAATTTTGAAAGCTTTATATATTTTTGGTCATAGGGATTCTTTTAGGCATGTGGTAGATACCTTCTAAATCCTCTACTGATGGAGAATAAACAACACTTTTTCATTTAGCCACAGAGAAATGGCAGTATGTTTTATAGAGAAAAAAATACTTACGTCTTCTGTGTCCTTAACCCGTAAAATCTGTTCTCTCAGGTCTTGTAAGTCGTTAAACGTGGACTGAGCTGTAATAGAATATACTAGTGCAAACCCTTGGCCGTTCTTCATATACAAATCCCTCATTGCTGTAAATTGCTCCTATAATAAAAAATATGCAATTATAAATATATAAATTTCTCGATCATATATTAGAACAATTTAAAACAGAATCATCACAAGTGAGCTACTCCATTTTTTATTACATGCTATCATGACAGAAAACATAAGACATAATGCATAGTTTCTAGAAACTCTGAGGTGAATGCTCCTGTGTTCCCCACTTAAAGTGACTAGATACAATGACAATGAACTACAGAATTAGAAGGAATTCTTGACCACCTTAATTAGCTTTTGTGTAATTTAGAAGAATGGTACAATTCTTTTTTATATACAGATCCTAATCAATTTTGATCTTAGTTTTGTTTGGAAATTTATGACACAACTGCTGCCCGAGTTGAAACAATCTGAGGTATAAACTGAACTATGACTTAATCATCTGGGACAAACAGTCTCAATATCTCTACTGGCAGATTTCATCATCTTGACAATCAATAGACTTAATTCTGTTTTAACTTTAAGCCCATTCTTTCTTATCTGGTAATAGTCATTATGTATAACTATAAATATTAATACAAGACAGAATCTTACAAAAAAATTTTGGGATTTTTATATATAGTATTAAGAAAGCACATATGGTAGAATATTCAAAATGTACCCATCTTGGGTCTTTACACATTGTGGAACTTTGCACCTTTGGATACATTAAACATAAAATAAGGCCTAAATCCACAAGATTTCCTAAGATTTTTACTGCCATGGCTTCCTGGCTCCCATCATCCCTACTTCTATTCTGTCTGCTACATCTAAATGTTCTCGTTGCTTCAACCCTGGCTGATGCATTCATTTTGTATGCTATCACTCAATCACTTCCCTAGCATCAAATTTTCGTCTCCAGTGTGTCACAGGAATATGGCTGGGCTTACTATGCTGCTGATAGTACACTGAGAAGGATGTAAAAACCGGGGTTTTCCCAGGTTTTTCACTTATAAACTTTGTATATTCCAGGATGGCACCATTATGGTAACCAATTAAGTTTTGCCACTGTCCAAATGCTTAATTATATAATAAATGAATAATTTACAATATAAGTGTTACAAATACCAGCAGTACTATTCCTATCATGTTCTCTTGAGATCATGTTCTCTCCTACTTATTAAATCAAAAAAATAAACATGTGGGGAAACCATGGTCTGAAAATTCATTTTAAGACTAGCCCTTACAGAGCTGCCACGGTTGTTGTTACTTCCTATTGAGAATGCCAACCTCCTTCTTAAGGACATTCTACAATATTCATCTACTCAACAAATATCCACTGAAGGCCCTCTATGTGCCAAGACAGCACTAGGGATATGTTGGTGAATATGAGAGGCAAAATCTCTGCCCTGAAAGAGTATACATGGAGACAAAAATAAAATATTCCAGATGGTAACAAATGTTACAGAGAAAAAGCAGGGGATGGGGGACAGGGAATTTCTTTTGAGGGTGGGAATGGAAGGTTATTTAAAAGACTGTGACCAGGGAAAGCTTCAAGGTAATACCTGAGTAAGGATCTGAAGGTGATGAGAGTAAAAGTTCTATGGAAATGTGGAGGAAGAGTATCCCAGGCTAAGGAAACAGCAATTGCAAAAGTCCTGAGGGGAAATATGTCCAGAGCATATGAGAAGCTGTAAGGAGGCTGGATTCGCTGAAACACTGTTAACTAGTGGGTGAGTATAGGAGGTGGAGACAGAGTGGGAACTGAGAGGAAGATGATTATCATTTGGACCTTACAGGCAAATGTAAAGACTTGGACTTTTACTCTGAGTTGAATGCATAATTTAAGCTGAGGAGGACATGATCTGAATTATATTTTAACAGGATTACTGTGGTTGCTGTGTTGAGAATAGTCTGAAGGGGGTCAAGGACAGAAGCAGGGAGACCAGTGTTGAGGTTATTGAAATAATCCAGGTGACAGATGACAATTGTTTAGGCCAAGGTAGTGTCATTAGATTCTAATGGTGATGGTCAAGTTCTGGATAAATTTTGAAGGTAAAACCAACAGAATTTGCTGAGAGTTTGGATGTAGAATTTAACAAAAGAGACACAACAATGACTCCAAGGTTTTAGGCATAATCAACTAAAAGGGTACTATTTACTGAGATGGGAAAGACTGTGGAAAGACTCAGGTCAGGGAAGGGATATCAGGAGTTCCGTTTGGACATGTTATGTTTGAGATGCTTATTAGATGTATAAGAGGAGATACTGAAGAGGCAGTTAGATATTGGAATCTGAAGTTCAGGAAAGAACCTGGGGACGGAGTTATAAATTTAGTATTTACTGGTATATAAATTATACTTAAAACTATGCTACTAAAGACGATCTCCAAAGCAGTGTTGTTAGAAAAGAGAAATCCAAGTATTGAACCCTGAGGCCCTCCAATATTAAGAGGCTGTGGAGATAAAAAGGAATTAGAAAAGGAGACTTAGGAGTAACGAATGACACAGGGAAAAAAACCAATCAAGTGTTTTTCAAATGAATGGGTTTTATAGTGGAGGATGGTAATAAAGTGAGTCAAAGGTTGCTGAAAGGAGTTGAGGATATATGGAAGGGAATGATTATGAATGGCAGACCATAACCCTGATGCTATGTGCAGAGGGCACTGAGGATATAAGGGATAATAAAAAGATGTAAGCATAACCAGACTGCAAGTTCCAATGAAGCTGAAGGATACTAAAGGAAGTGAGATGGAAGAACAAGAGGTAGTGAGTGCAGAATGGGATACTTAAAAATGAGATTAGGGAAGTGTTACAGTTATTGGTAATCACACAGTCTAGGGTAACACTATGGTATGAATGGCTGAAGTAGGACGGAGATCAAGAAACTGACAAGTCTCGGTACTGGCTCACCTATAACATCTGTACAGATTCTATTTGGAGAGTAAAACCACCAAGAATTCTGACTGAAGCTGTATGGGAGAGAGTGAGCAAAAATCTTCAAGGAGTAAGGAGTGATCTGGGACAAGAATAATGAGCATCAGCTATTTTCCAAGCTTTATGCAAGGCACTGGAGACACAGAAAAGCAAACAGACAATTATAATACAGTGTGTTGAGTGCTAGGATGGGAGGTGTACAGTATTTGAGAGCACAAAGGAAAGATCTCTGCTGTAGGGAAGAACTTCCTTAGAAGAAGAACTTCCAAGAAGAAGAAGAAAGAATGCCCTCACACTGTGGATGTGATGAAAAGAAGTAGAAGGTATTCCGTTTAGCTACTAGAGTTTCTGAGAACAAAGGGAAATTTTGCTAATTCAGAAAGTAAGAAAATGCCAGGGAGCAAAAGGAGGGTGATCTCTTGACTTGGCTGATACAAGAAAGATGTAGTTTCAGTGATCCATAGATTCTTATTGAAATCAAGATCTATTTTTCCAGGAAAGAGTGGAAAAATACAGTATAATTAGTACCATAATTGTTCCAGTCTGCTTATATGTTTATTTTTTAACAAAATGAAACATTCTTATTATTTGTAAAATTATAGTGGAAAAGGTTGTGATGAATTTTAGACAACTTGTAATATTTAAGGATACTATCCATTTTAAAGCTGGGAATTGCCTAATGGGTAGTCTATGTGTTTGAAGAAAAAGAAGGAAAAGGAAAAGTGCTTAATGTATGTATTTCGTGTGGCATTACAACTGGAAATCATCAGTAATTAATTTTTTAAAATTATAAAGGTGATGATATTAATGAAGGCAATAAGAATAAGAGCACATATATGAATTCCATACCATTAATGGGCATTGTGACAAGTGATTTATAATCATTATCTCATTTGATCCTTATAAGTACCCTATAATATACTAATGTCACTATACTCATTCAAAGGTGAGAGAAATGAGACTCAAACTAAGCCTAAAGATTTTTACCTTCAGAAAACATGTATCTATCACCAGCCCCCTCAGTTGTTAAAATGCTAGGAAAAGGAAAAATGATTTTTATAAAAATAAATGACTATCATGCCAAAAGACAAAGTCTTTAAAACCATGGAAATACACATCTTAACCAAAATTCTGAACTTAAAATAACTTTTCCTTTTTAAAAGCACTTTTAAAAAAATCCTTACCTCAATACAGGGAGAAGAAACCCAATATGCAGATTCTTCAGGTGAAGTCAATACACAATTTAATCATGATATGTGGGCATTTGTGTGTATGCAACAGCTTATTTCATACACATAAGAAAATTTAAGAAGCCTTACATTCAGAGAATTTGTTCTTAATCAGAATGATTACTTTTACTCAGAAGAATTACTCAGACGACAAAACCTGCTCACAAATTAAAATCTATCAGAAAAAGAGAAAACATCCTTACTGTCCCTGCTGTATCCAGGATTTCCAGCATACACTGTTGGCAATCTACTTCAACTTGCTGTGAGGGCAAAAAAAAAAAAAAAAGAAAGAAAGAATGAAAAAGTAACATCAAAATGTCATTCTGTTTTCCTCCCATCTTTTCACTAAAAATACTTATTAACAACCAACTACAAAGACTTTCTCTAGCAGTTTGCTGTATTGGCTGGGAGCAAACTAGGTATCACAATAAAGAACAAGGGTCCCAAGCTCATTCTATTAATATTATAGAAGCCAGGATGGTTAATGTTGAGTTTAGGTATCTTCTGACCACTGTAATGATTCTTCAGAGAAAACAAATTACAAAAATAGTAAATGGCTCAAAATGCACACAAGATTTAAGGATAGAGAAAATCTTGCCAATTTACCACTTTCAAACTGTTAAAATTAATGCACAAAATTTAATACATAGGAAAATTTGAATTTAAGACATAAAAGGAACACAGAAGTGCTAAAATAGTACTGAGCTCACACCGTCCTCAAGACTTTAAGAAAAAGGCATTTTCTTTAGAAAAGCTCTGTGTAAAAGGTGAAATTTTATACACTGAATTCCATTTTCCCACTGTCTTATAAAAGAAGGTTGGCCTAAAGAAAGTGTCAACTATTGACTGTGTGAAAAACTTTTAATAAAGAAAGGATTAAGAAAAGTTAGTCCTTCAAGTACAGATCTTGCTTTGTAGTTAAAGCTTTAACTAGCAACTTATTTTGGGAACATTTCAGTAAAGCAACACTGTCTTCTAAAAATAAATGTATTTACCTAAGGACTATTTTAAACTCTGCTTGTGTCAGGTCAGGGATTGATGAGGAGCACTACTGGCAGTGCCACAAACTCATCATCCCACCACATATGGGACAAGTATGGTAACCTGCAAAATCTGTAACTGGGCATGTCAATGATTTAATGAATTTGCTCAATGTATCTAGAGCACAATTTTGTTTCCAATTTGAAGAGAGTGAAATTGCTCTGCCAGTACTACTTGAGGAACTTAATTCAACACAAATTACTGGCCTGTTAAAGGCAAATTCTAAAAACATCTAACAAAACAATCCTTTCCTATTTGTTGAAAGGTAGGTTTAATCTTTTGGGGGAGGTTTGGGAGTGGGGATGGATATCCTTGGCTACCAGTCTTTCATAACACTGTCTTTTTCTCCCCTAATATATTTGGGAAATAAAATCATGAAAATTTCCCACAATTCTAACTAGTCTTACAATTAAATAAAATGTTATTTTTTGTTAAGACCAACTATCTAATTTTTTTCTTTTATTCTTTAGAGCAGTTTTACATTCACAGCAAAATCGAAAGGAAGATAACAGAGATGGGCCGACCCCGTGGCTCACTCGGGAGAGTGTGGCGCTGGGAGTGCAGCAGCGCTCCCCCCGCGGGTTCGGATCCTATATAGGGATGGCCGGTGTGCTCACTGGCTGAGCGTGGTGTGGGCAACACCAAGCCAAGGGCTGGGATCCCCTTACCGGTCACACACACAAAAAAAAGATAACAGAGATTTCCCATATACCCCCGACCCCCAAAGATGCATTCCCCCGCTATCAATCACTTGCACTAGAATGGTACATTTGTTACAACTGATGAAACTACACTGACACATCATTATCACCAAGAGTTCACAGTGTGCATCAGGGTTGGCTTTGGTACTATACATTCTATGGGTTTTAACAAATGTATAACATGTATCCTCATTATAGTATCAAACAGAATCTAACTAATTTTTTTGTAGTCTAAAGGTAAAATATTTTTAAAGTTTAACTAAACAAATATCAAAACTTTTAATCACTGGATAACTTGAAGCATAAAAGTGATCTTAATTTTTGTTAACAAAAAGAGTGGTTGAAAATATACCTACTATTTATAAGCAGTTTTTTTCTACATTAAAAAATTCCCCACCAGGAAAATGTATGAATTAAAGAACAAATAACCAATCAGTAACAACATGGAGCTCTCTATACCTAAGTAGTATTCTATAAGAAGTATTTTGTCTAGGTGAAACCTTTAAAAACAGATACAGAACATCTGTATCATTTTCAAAACTATTTTTAAAAAGCAATGCCATGCATCAAGTTTTAAAGTCATAAGGAACTACTTGTAAGCATGCATATACAAGTTTCACATTTTACCTTTCTGTAGGAATCTTCTATCGTTGGGTCATATTTTTCAACAAAAATTCCCTGAACAAACTGAACTGTCTGGGGAAGAAAAAAAAAAGAAAGGAGGAAAACAAAAGTTAACGATTTAAAAGAAAAATCAAACTCCTTTGAATGTTGCTTAACCTTACAAAGTTGTACAAATTAAATGAAATTATGTGAAAATTCTGAGTAAATACATTAAAGTATCATTATTATTTTTCAGTATAAGGAAGCATCTATAACTAAGAGTACATTTACCACAAAAAGGAAGTGGTCCTGTCAAAAATTGTCATCAATATTGCTACTGATAATACACTGATAATTACTATAGTAAGTTTTAAAATACGAAAAGGATACAAATAATGTAAATTCTAATTTATTAAAATATGAAAAATTATTAGTATTTAAACTCCTATTACCCCTTTGTGTACCCATAGTAACTTTTATCTCATGACTTCAAAGGAGAGAGACAAAGACAAAATTTTAAAAAGTCTTACTAATTGTGTGGGAAAGATAAGAGGAAATTAAAATTTACTGAATGCCTACTATGTTCCAGGCACTGAGCTAGTCACTTCTAATTTATAATCACATACAAATTTCATAATCTCCATAAAAGCAGTTATTTTTCCCTTTGCCAGTTGAGATTCAAACAAACATCTTACTGATTCCAAAGCCTTACTTACACTTTCCATTGGAAAAGACTGCCTACGCATCTGTTTCAGATATTATCCACTTTTATCTCAAAAATATCCTAAGCACATACTAGAAACCACATATTTTGTCATTCAGCAAATGAAATGAAGTACAGAAGGTTTTGAGATATTTCCTAGATAGCTCTTAAACTGGGTCTGATACATTATTGCCTAAAAGCAATGGTAAGAATGTAAACTGAGGTCATTTACACTTAAATTACTCAGAAGAATATTTTATATACTATTTAACTTGAGCCAAACAGATTAACTTGAATATAATAAACTTCAAACTTCTTTCTCCTACTAAGCTCCTATTATTCAAAGGAAATTCAGGATATAATCATGCCAAAAACTCTAATCATCATTTTTATCAAAGATTTAATCACCTCATTTTCTTAGTACAACATATAACTTATATATGAAAAAGTCTAATATGGCTTCCTAACATGCTTTAGACTTGAGCAGAGGTTCTCAAAATATGGTCCACGGAAGAGGCTCCCTGAGGTCAAACTATCTTCCTAATAGTACTAAGATGTACTTACTTTCTCTCACAAGTTTACAGTGGAGTTTTCCAGAGTATAGAACATGTGTCATTGCAAAAGATTCATGCAGAAGCAGGCATGAGAACCCAAGTGACTTCTATCAGCCAGACATTAATGAGACTTGCAAAAATGAAAAAAAATCCCACACTTCTCACTCCTTTCTTACTAAAATTAACCTTCCATAACTCCTCTGAATCCTATGTTCTCTCTCAACTCTCAAAGACATCTCATCCATTCGTATAGAGTTTAATTTTATTCCTTTGGATTTCATGCTGGATCCCCTCCTTGCTTCTTCTCCTGTATCATTTTCCTCTCCACTACTATCTACAATCATAAAACAAAAACAAAACCTCCCTTAACCACATGAAGCCTCCAGTTTCTGCTCCTTTCCCTGTTGTCTCTCATAGTGAAACTTCTTCACCTGTCTACATAGTTGTTCCACTTGCTCAGCTCTCATTTACTTTTCAACCCACCCCAGTAAGGTTATGGGACCATCGTCTGACTGAAGCTGCTTCTTACCATGTCCAACTACCTCCATGTTCTTAGATCATCTTTTGTCTCTCTTTTATTTGACTTCTAAGCAGTCAAATAAAGATATATTCTTCTATGCTGGATTCTCCAATTCCATCTACTCTCTAAAGGTTGAGAGGTATTCATAGCTCAGTCCTGGGCTCTTCTCTTTCTAGTCTCCCCCTAGGCAACCTCACTCGCTCCTAGGATTTTTTAAAAATTATTTATTTTCAAAAAGGTAATTCATGGACATAGGACCAAATTCAAAATGCACAAAAGGCTATGCAGTGGAAACTAAGCCTATGTACTGTAGAAGATTAATAAAACAAATGTACTTCACAGGGCCTGGTTTTCCAAAGCCTTGTAGTTTCAAATATTGACCTTGCAAAGGATAGGAAATTTTCCCCAGGCTATTGAGTCTCTGTTGCAAGATAAGAATTGTAACACAGCAAGGTTGCTGGCTCAAAGACAGACAAGTTACTAATTGATATGTAAAGGTACTAAAAAGCTGCTAGAGGGAAAAGGAATGTTTGCTAAATCAAGCCTTCCTTAGTGGATCACTTAATTGCCTAACAGAATGTCATCTGACTTGTTTTTTACTGAATGTTACCAGCTTCTATTGTAAAACTTGTAAAACTGTACTTAGCAAAACCCCACCTATGTCGCTTCCTGTAACTTCTTGGTCTAGAGAATAAATGCAGGAAGAGAACCCCAATTCGTGGTTAATTTCCCAAATGGAAGAAATGCCTCGCAACTGAGGAAGTTTCTGGGATATTAACCCCCTTCTGGGGCATCTCACTGCTCAAAAGAGATGGGCTTTGAGTAATCTTTGGCGACTCTGTCACCCAGGGGAAAAAATCTGTGACAAATCCATGGGAGGCAAAGCAACAATGTACCACCCTTATTCCCAGCTAAGCCCACTCTCAAGGAACTGATATAATCAGTAGCTTATTTAACCTTGTAGAGACAGTCTATGTATTTTACAATTATCTCCCCTTAACACCCCACCTTTTTCTTTTTTTTTATAAAATACTACTGGTAGGCTACACTGTTTGGTACCTTTTTTTTCCTCTCTAAATAATACACCTTGGATATCATTACATATCAGTGTATGTACAGCTGTTGCATTCTTTTTAATGGTTGTATAGTATCTTACTCCAAATATGTATTAAAAATTACTTAACTAGCCCCCTACTTGCATTCAGGTTGTTTCCAAACTCTTGTCACTGTACAGAATGTTGCAATGGATATCCTTGACCATGTTATTTTGCACGTGTGAACGTAAGTGTGAGATAAATTTCCAGAAACAGAATTGATGAATTAAAAGTTGTACGCATTTAAAATGACATATATTCTCAAATGTTCTCCACAGAGGTACTAATTTACACTCCTAAAAGTAATATAATTCTCACAAAATTAAATACCATTGATAAACTGATGGCAACCAAAATCTTATCACAGGCCTCTCTTTTAAGCTCTTACTGTGAAGATCCATTTGTTCATTTGATGCACTTACTTGAACATCTCACAAACATAAAATTTGACATGACTCTGATTTTTCACTCACCATTCATTCTCCAGTGTTTCCCTTCTCTTTCTATACATCCATAAAATTAGGAGCTGAACTAGAAACTTGGGAGTCATACTTAACAGTTTCTTCTCTCCTAGTCCCCATATCAACCTAGCACTAAGTTATATTGTTCTGCCACCTACTTAATCCTCAAACCACTGCCTCTCTTCTTCAATGCCATGGCCTTAAACTAAGCTTCCATAAATAAGCTTCTGTACTGCATTAACTCCCAATTTGTCTCCCACATCCACTCTGCCTCTCTTCCAAATTACTCTACACAGAGCAAAGTGTTCTCTTTAAAACATATATCCAATTCTGTGGCTTCTCACTGTTATTAGGAATAAGTTCCAAGCTCTCATATGGTCTTTAAGTCATGATCTGGCCCCCTGCCTACCTCTTACCTCATTTCCTTCCATTTTCCTCCCTGTTCCCTCCTGCCCCAGCTATACTGACCTTTTTCTCAATTGTTCAAATGCTAACTTAGGTCCACCAGTCATAGACTCTCTCTTAACAATCTATATTTTTCTTTCAGAGTTATCTCTCTCACAATTATAATCCAGTAGTTCCTTAACTGTGTATATACTACATCTCCTCCACTATAATATAAGCTCCACGAGAGACTGTGACTGTTTTAGTTCACTGTTGTGACCCCAGAGTCTGACATTGTAGAATCTCAATAATTATTTGCGGAATGAATACACGTATACAAAGAAACAACCTTTATTCCACATAAGTGTGGGGTAGAGGCAAGGGAGGAGTTATTCCACTAGGATCTGCAATAATCAGCTTCTCCCACGGGAATGTAAATTCCTTAAAAATGGGAATAGTTTTATTCCTTTGTGGATCACGAACACTAGTGTTTGACATATAAGTTGGCCAACAAATATTTGGTAAATGAAAGGATAAATGTGCCACCATTATAAAACTGCACATCTGTGGTTACTGAATGATTCTCTGTCCCTTGTGGGCCAGATAACAGGTACATGAAAAATAATGCCACTTTTTCTCTTTAGTGACTAGAAGTCTGAAAGCAGGCAAATATCAAAGTTCATCTTGTACTGTACTAATTAGTTGTTATAGTTAGGTGACTAACTTACCAGAGCAGACTTCCCCACGCCTCCTGAACCAAGGACCACTAGCTTGTACTCACGCATGATGTGGTCTGTTTAAATACTGACAATCTGAAACACAAAAATAAAAATTCAAAGACTGACATTGCTAAGAATAGCCTAAGAATGTACTACTATTTCATCAAATATGGAATTGATAAAGACTGAATTGTGTCCCCCAAGTTTTATGTATTATAAGCTTAATCCCTACTGTAACTGTTGAGGGTGGAAAATCCTATTATGGTAATTGAAAGGTGGGGCCTTGAAGAGGTGATTAAGTTGATCGTTTAATTGTGGTCATGACATGGTTCTAAGGGCTTTAAAAGAAAGCCCAGGAGGAATTCTCTCTCTGCTGTGCTATTTTCACAACGTAATACGCTGTAATGCTTAAATCACTACCGAGGAAGACCTTCGCCAGATGTGTTCCCTGGACTTTGTACTTCCAGCCTCAAACAATGTAAACAATAAATTGTGTTTTCTTACAAATCACCTAGTTTCAGGTATTTTATTATAAGCAACAGAAATGGACTAATGCAGGGATTTTATTTATTTTGTTTCGGTGGTTATTTTTTTGGTTTTGTTTTTTCCCCTTAAGACTATCAAGGGGACAATAGAGGCTACAAAGCAAAAACTATAGGACTATTGCCAGATATTTCTATTCACTGAAAATCCTCTTCAATTACGTATTAATCATTAGCCTATTCATGTTACTTCTAAAAGTGATCAGAAAACAAGATCATTAAAACCAACAGTTGTCTTATAGCTATAATCATGAACCCAATTTAGACAACCTATGTACTTTTTTTTTTTTTTCCTGACACATGAACTTTTGGGGGATGCATTCAACCCACAGCATTCTCTCCCTGGCTCCCAAAATTCATGTCCTTCCACATGTAAACACATTCATTCCATCCCTATAGCCCCAAAGTCTTAAAGTTGTCCCAGGACTAACTTGACAGTCCAAACATCCAAACCTACGTAGTTTTTTGAAACGTTCACTCATGAGTTTTAATATAATGTATATGCTATTTTATTTGCTTAAAAAATCATATAGTAATTCTATACTATTTTGTTCTTTATTGTACTATAGCTGAACAACGTAAAATGTCACCTTGAAAATTATTAGGATGTGAATAGGAGATCAGATGAAACAAATTTTACAGGCAGGTAGGCATTAGTAATATACTCCATAAGGCTCAAATTGCTAGAAAAAATAAAAGGAAGATAAGCTTAAAAAGAAAAATCTTTGGGACAACCCTGTGGCTCACTCGGGAGAGTGCGGCACTGGGAGCGCAGCAGCCCTCCCGCCGCGGGTTCGGATCCTATATAGGGATGGCTGGTGCGCTCACTGGCTGAGTGCGGTGCGGGCGACACCAAGCCAAGGGTTGCAATCCCCTTACTGGTCACAAAAACAACAACAACAAAAAAAAAAGAAAAATCTTTATGGTTATCCTAAAAGGTAAAAAGACAGAAAATAATTTCCAAAGGCCATGACGGAATAACTAGGAACAAACTTCATCCCACAGTAAACAGCTAGAACACTAGAAAAAAAATATGAAACTGTTTTAAGACGTTAAACAATAAGCAGGATAGGACTGTGATTTCTGAGAGACAGGAAAGAAAAAAAGTGAAAACTACAACTGCCCTTGCTTTCTGCAGGGAGGCACTTTATAGACTGTGGTGCAAAAAGAACTCAAGCACAGCTTGGAAATATACCAGAGGAGAGGGAGTTATGCATAGAAAGTTCCAGAAATCTGCACAATGATCCACTCAAGTCTGTGGCCAAGCCAGGCAATACAGGTTGAAACTCAATGGGGTTAAGGCAAAGAATAAGAATAAATGGAGATCTATAAGCTGAACAATTTCCAGAGTTCATATGGTACTGGGAAATATGCTTCTAACTAGAAAAAGTCTTCCTTGTTGAAAAATCAGAAATTCACTAGAAATCTCAAGATTCACACCTTCCTAGCAGAGCTAAACAAGCTCTAGAGTAAATGATACACTGATGCTTCCTAACAAACCTTAAAAACAAACCTCAAAAGGATGGCATTGATCCACATGTAACTCAACTGCCTGTCAAAATAAAGTCCAAAATTCTCTAAAAGAAGCAGAAAAAAAAATTCCACCACTCAATAATATAAAATTAACAATGACCAGCATCTAATAAGAAATTAATAGACAGGCAAAGAAGAAAGAAAATGTTACCTGAAACCAGGGTGAAATGAATCTATTGAAATCACCAGAGATGAGAGGATGGAATTAGCCAATGAGGACTCTAAAACTGCAAATTATAAATATGCTGAAGGATTTAAAGAAAAAACATAACGAGGAGGGAAAAGGGCAGATATAAGAAAAAGAGCCAAAAAGAACTTCTAGTATTCAAAAACAATATCTGAAATGAAAATATCACTGGATGGGATTAGCAGTATATTAAATACTGCAGAAGGAAAGTTCAGAGGATCAGAAAAGACAGCAACAGAAAGTGCCCAAATTGAAACATGGTAAAAAGGTGATGAGGATGAGTGCAAGGGAAAGAGAGGGAAGGAAGAGAGGAGGGAGGGAAGAAAGAAGCAAGGATAGCAGGGTGGGTAGGAGGAAAAAGAAGAAAAGAAGAAAAATAAAAAGAGGAAGAACTGCAGGACAATATCAAGTTGCCAATCAGACTAATATAATGTGCAACTGGAATGGGGTAGAGGTGGTAGTAGTTGAAGAAATAATGACAAAACATTTTCCCAGTTTGATAAAAAACATAAATTCACAGATCCAAGAAACTCAATGAGCCCCTCCCCTTTGCTCCCAGGAACACACACACACACACACACACACACACACACACACACACCATGGCAAGGCACAATAATCAAATTCCTGAAAAGCTGTCGAAAAGATAAAAATCTTACAAGAAGCCAAAGGAAAAAAGTTGAGATGTAGGAATAAAGTTTAGTTAGGAATGAAGTTTAATACGTAGATTTCTTTTCTTTTTTTTTTTTTTTTTTTTTTTTTTTTTTTTTTTTTTTTTTTTTTTT